GTCATTTCAAGTCATTACTGTTTTCTGCCAGTGAGCTCTTAAATTATTGATGAATGAGCAATTTTCATTCCTCCATCTGAATCTAGTCCAGCTTTCTGTTCAATATGTTCTTTGTACAGATTGAACAGATAAGGGGATAAAATGCACCCTTTTCTGACACTGCTGTCTATAGGAAGCCATTCTGTCTCTCCATATTCTGTCCTAATGGTAGCCCCTTGTCCACAATACAAGTTATGCATCAGGACAATGAAGTGTTGAAGCACACCCATTTCTTTCAGGAGAACCCTTAGTTTCTAATGATATAAATAATCAAGGCTTTGCTGTAGTCTATAAAGCACAGATTTATCTTCTTCTGAAATTCTTTGGTGCTTTCCAGTAGCTAGCAGATATTTGCAATATGATCTCAAGTGCTTCTTTCTTTTTGGAATTCAGCTTGAATATCAGGCATTTATTGCTCCATATAAGGTAAAAGCTTTGTTGTAACATCTTGAGCAACAAAATGGGCCTACATGAGTGCATGTAACACAAAGCAAAGTGTGCTGTTTATATACTTCCCCATATACTGCTTAAAGCACTCCCTGAGTAGGTTACAGTTCAATGATGCAGGCTACACCTTGCCCCCTCTCCCCATGTTGGTTTGTTTCATTATGCATGATTTTTTTTTTTACAAAAAAGCCAAACGAACGCTCTCCCAAAAAACTTGCAGTACTTTTGAAGCCATTTTGGTCCAGCAGTGCTACAAACACACATCACAGGTTTCTTCACTGTCTGAGACCCAACATCTCCGTGAGAGTTGATTCATTTCCCTCTGACCTTGCACTGAAGTCACCCAGGGAGTGTTAAGAAAGGATTCAAGGCATCCCGCACATACATTTTTAAAGAACGTGAAGGCCTTCCACAGGGTGGTTTTCAGAGAGGTGCCCTTGATAGCCTGTTTCAGCAACAGCTGGAACAAACAGAACACAACATATTGTAGCACCTTTAAAATTAAAAAAAAAATCATTTTGAAGTTAACTTTCATCCTTGTGCTTGAAGAAGTGGACTATAATCCATGAAGCTCACGTTCAAATAAATATAGGACTTAAAGGTATTTGCTGTTATTCCCAAAGGTATTTTGTAACTAATTTCCTTCATCAGTGACAGAATATTACTACGTAACATTATTATAATTTTTCCCTGTGGTAGTATAACTGTAATGGTCCACACGCTGGTTCATGCTGTACCCGGCCAAACTGCTGAATTCGGCTGCTTTTAAAAAAGTAACTGAAGATAACTATTTACTTTTGAGAAACAGGATGGTAAAGAATTATTTTATTAAAAAAAGCCACTGTATTGATAACTATAAGGACGGGGTTTGGAATAATAGCTATAATTATCAGTACATGTTAAAACTGCACAAGGCTGTGTAGTCTACCCTTCTATACAAAGGACTTTAGATTCCATCCAAGTTATACAAATTGCTAAAGTGAAGGGTGCCTGGTGTCTGCTGGTGTCTGAGACAACATTTTATCCACCGGGACAACATATTAGGGATTTGTGGTTGGTTAGCTCAGTGAGCTGGAGCTCTTCGGTCAGGAGTTACAATTCCCTACTGTGTCTTCTAGGAGAAGAGCTGGCCTATGTGGCCTTGAGCAAACTGCAGAGTCCTAGAACTTCTGCAGAAGAAGGGAAGTCCACTTCCTGAACATTTTACCTTGGGAAGAGTGGCCATAAGTCAGAACTAACCTAACAACACACAACTAAGGTTGCTGATGCTGTCAGATATTCATCTGCTATAACTTTTGGAACTTGTACATGTTTTTCTACACATTCCACAAAGCAGAGCTGTCCAGCCTGATGAAGACTTGTATGGCTCGATAGCTAGCATCTTTGTCTGTGTATATTTTTTTTCAGTGATACCTACTCTTGCCTTT